ATCCTTCTTGCCAGGCATCACTTATTCTATGTTCCCGAGCTTAAGGCTACTTCAAAATTTTACGAATACCCTGGCCATAGCTTTACAGGGTAGTATGAAAGTCACAAGTTGTAGTGTTGATAAGCAAATAACTTTTTCGAAGCGGCGTAAGGTGGCCATTTTAGTAATTAAAGGCCGGGTTTCGTATTTTACCATGTGTTAGGTCAAGGGTTATGTTTTGAACTAATAAACTTTACTTTTAAAAAAACGAAACCATTATCCTTATAAAACATAAGGTCGGTGGACCCTTGACGGTATGACCTTTCAAGGATGTTTTATCTTTTTTTAAACACTGGTATGCTACTCTCAAAATTTAAAAGCACTTTAAACGATTCGATTTTAACTTCATCTCCTTGGAGGTTAAGGAATTATTGTTCTCCAGTCCCTTCTCCCGTAGGGTTGTCGTGAACTGCCCAAATGACTGAGTGGTTTCGCAGAGGCATATTAGGTCGGGATCGTTCACGTTTAAAATAGTATACACTAGTAAATAATACTATTCGTATACTGTAAGTTCCTAATGCTATTCTAGGATGCTAACGTTTAAAAGAAGTAAGCACTCTTTAGCGCACCACAACAAGCTATACAAGTATTCCGCTCGATGTAGCACAAAGTAAGTCAAACCGAGCCAATCTAATTAAAAATGTTATGATTTAGTTAATAAACATCTCACTTTGCTGGATTAAAGCAATTTTTAGCGTGATAAAAGGATTGAGTGCTATTTCAAAACCGAAATCAAGCTAATCCTAAAGCATCTAGAATCGATGCAAATAGTGTTATCTATAATACCCATGACAGCAACCTTCAGAGTTCCGAACGGTAAAAAACAAAGATATAGTTCAAGAAAACACCACAGGCTTTCAGACGCACCTATTCACTCCAGATGCAGGCATTGCTACCACTTAGCCTTAAATTACGCTAAGTGTCGAAGGACCTACCTACACCTTTGCTTAAGAAAAAAACGGTACAGTTGGCAATAATTCTAGTATATCAACATCGATCTGATTATCGAGAGAATATTCGTAAGCTAACAGCTAAGCTGTAAACCATTTCTAGCCTAACACGGTTCGTCATAATTCTTAATGAACTCAAAAGGATGGAACCTTTTTTAAGGATCTCAAGTGACTTGTTAGTTTTCTCATTTTCAAGAGCAATCTATTGATCCAAGAGGACTTTAGACTGTTAGACTAGACCATTCTCTCTTAGGACTTATCAAAGTGCACGGTAACTCTGATCACTTTCTCTTACAAGCACGATCACCATGTTCTTGTGGACTGTGTTCCGAACATTTAGTTGAAGAGATAGAATTATTAATTACGAGAGCCTACTGTATAATTTCAGCTCAAGTCTAGTCAAGAAGTTCGAAATAGTTATCCAGCATCCTTCAATATAGTGACTACATTTCACTTGCCGTGTACCCTTGGATGGCGTCCGACACGTACATCATCGGGTGAAGTTTTGAAGTCAAATCGCGGATCCTATAGGTAGAGTGCAACGACGAATTTCACCTTAGGGCCGACCTTCTTCGGGTCGCTTAAAAGATAGTAACCTATGCCGTTGTTGTGTTGAATCGTTACTTTACTAAGAGAGTGTACAACACTTAGATGCTTAAAAACACCGTATTAAGAGAGCAAGTTAATTAACTTGCTCTTTGTTGCGCACTTTCTCTCGTGCGCTTTACCGGTGCACGAGCTTGTGACGCAACTGATACTTGACTGTGATCCCAGCTGGTAAGACCATGCTTTATATAGTTGTTAACCGGGGCGCCTGCGTAGGTTGGGCTCGCAATAGGAGTATTAGGAACGTGTTCTGTCACGGACCTTGGACCGTTAGTCATATCTTGGGACTTTCGTCATGTATAGTACATTCTTTGTAAGTTAAGCTTTATATCTCATTCTAAGCTAATACACCGAAGCTCAAAGTTTTAAACAAGCCTTGGTAAGCAATATTTATAACCTTATCTTGGCTCCCTGTGTTAGGGTTGAGACACCAAGGTGAAACAACTTGCTTCACAACTTTAACTAAGATAGAATACAATAAAATATAATACAATAGAAAGAGGTAGAAACTACTTATCATCTTTACAACTACGGAGTACAGGAAAGCGCCGAGGATAGCCAAGAGTTGGTTCTTCTACGCAGAGCCCAACCACCTAAGCTGAAGTATAACACTGGTCGTTCGACCTACCTAACCTTAGATGATGACCAAGTATGCTAGATCGCTGTGACCACATGGCAAAGAAGGATGTTCTCGCAAGACAAGCGTTGAGGATATTTAAAAAGATAAAACGCTGGCACATGCGCGAGCATCGAGAAAGGAAGTTTCCCATTCTCCTATACATGCTTTTTGGAGGGGTAAAATAGTGTTCATACCCAAACTACTTAATCATTCCTTTCAATATGAGATAAAAATGCTAGATATTAATATATTATTATCTTTTTTATATAAATTTTGGTAACAAAATTATATAACATATCTTAATTTAAGTTATAAATATTAATACATACCTTGTTACCTCTCGCCCTCCCTTATTATACGTACACCAACTCTAGGCGCCTACTGAGCGGTGGGCGCTAACGAGCGCTGGCTAATAATTGGGACATTAGCTTTCTTTTGCGAGTTTTTAATTGGTGCACGGAGGCAATAAGCCGTTCATATTTATATAGCAATGACGTAAGGCATCCTTTCAACTAATTCACGGCGCCTCTGTCATTGGGCGGGGGCAAGCTTGTTTTAACTCATGTATAGCGAAGAGGCTACTATTGGCTTAAACAGCAAACGCATATTTATGATTGGCCGGCTTTACAAACGCAACTAGCGTGGTACGAGGGTTCGCTTCTGGCGCAAAGTAAACGATAAAAAAGTTCGATTTGCTATAGAAATTTACGTGCGACCGCTACGCGTGCTTATAAAAAGTTAATCTTAACAAAAGAAAAAAAATATAAATATCAAAATTTAGTTTAATAATAACAACATTATAAAATTGTAATATATATAAATATATTACATAGAAAAGTATGATTAAGGGAAAAGAAAAAATGTAATAATATTTATTAAATAAAATATGTATATAGTATAATTAATAGAAAAGAATTTATAAACTTTACAATACAAAAAAAAGATATACAAATATAATATATATAAGAAAAAACCGGTTATAAATATGCACTAGGATATAACTAAATAAAAAGCTAGCTATCGAGCAAATTTTTATGTAAAAATATAAATTTACTTTAACTTTTTTTTTTTCAAGTTTCAATTCTGTTTTAATTTTGATTATAACTTTTTTTTTTAATTGCTTACTTTTATTAGTTATATTTTTTAATAGGCATTTGTAAGCCGTCACTCAAACAGACTTTCACTTTGCTTATGAAGCCGAAAATATATTTAGTCCTTCGGGGCTAGAGCCATTTAACTGTGAAGTCTGTATTAATTCCAATCGATATTAACGTTGAAATATTAATGGGGTTTTATCTAAAGTCTGTCCACAAGGCCCTTCTTAAGACCAGTATCTACGAGGTTTTACCTTAAACTGAACCTATGCGATCCTTCTTTGAATTGCCAGGCCGTAAATAATAAACAAGCAAGGCAAAATACCCCCGCACAGCTACAGGCAAAAAACAGGGCTAAAAGAGGAAAACCCTCTGCTTTATTAATCGTAAAATTATATATATATACTTAAACAAAATTAAATTAAACACACGGGTCCAATTAAAATGTACCACTCAAGTTCGGTGTCAACTAAATTCTGTTGTAAGAAAAGCTCATATAGTTGGCAGTTATTGTCTTGTTTATTTATTTTAATTTTGTAGGGAATTTATTTTTTACTATTAAAATTTATATTGATTGCCTTGCAGGGTCAACTGGTGGCACGAAACTGTGTCCACAGCTTCTAAAATCTAATATCTACTAGACCTTTCCTTTTAAAAGAAATCCTGAGAAAATTATTTATTTATGTCTGCTGTATGGCATGTTCAATGGTGCTGCCTTTTTTTCTTTTTACTACAAATCTCTGTCATCCTTGCTTCAATCTACTACCTCAATAGAGTGGAATGCTCTGCGCGTCTTTTTGAGCTTGGAATCAATAACCACAATGATCAGTATAGCTTGTGCTCTTTCTTTAAAAGAATTAAGGTGTTTAAACATATCACAAGGATGAGTGTTCGAAAATGACATGCCTTCAAGAGAGAAGATGAGAATAAGAAAGAAAATCAAAGTGAATAAGAGACACCACTCTGCGGGTCTTTTGCCGTCTTGGTTCTTTAACTGTTTATGTTACATTTCCTTTATATTTAGATATATGATTATCCACTTTTTATTTCATTTTTTAATTCCTTTTTTCCCCAAAGTCGGAGTTAATAATTTAAGCATTAATATCTGTAGCCTTTATAATCTATGTAAAAAATGCAGTTCAAAGTTTTTAACTATTATTATTAGTCCATTATAGCAATATTTTAGTAGACAATTTATGGAGATTGTACTTTAAAAACTTTAACTATAAGAATCTATGGGAGGTAGTTTTTGTCTCCACAGTGCAAATTCGGTATTAGCACCAATTTATTCTTTTTTTAATAGTCTGCGCTTAACTTACCGACCACCCGCCAAAGTCTTTAAAAAAAAGAGCTAATGACTACCTCTTCATTACGGGACAATAAAATGGTCACTCTTTCTTACCCTTTCATTCCCAAGGTCTTAATCATGCGGGAATTTATATATACTGAGGAACACTAAGCTTTATAAGACTCTTGGGAACAGAGGGTAATAAAAGTTGTATATACGTAAGTTAACGACCGAATATGTGAGTCGTTACCGTAGCTCAGTGGTTAGAGTACTTGTCGCTCAATATCTCAAGGCGGCTGGTTCGATTCCCGTCTGTTACAACTCGCATCTTTCTGGTTTGGTAGTTAAGTGTACAACTTCTCTGCAAACAAAAATTCTGATAGAGGGGCTAGGTAAAGAACGAATTTGTGAAAACACACAATTTATTATGTTTGCTTAAGAAATGCAGGAAAGGACTAAGGTTAGCGCTAGCCATACATAAAAATTAGAAATCCTAAATGCTGTCGCTGCCCGGATAGTGAGGAATGATTGGGATTACCGGCGTATTGGCTTGAGTGCTTTGTGAAGAAGAGACCAGGCCCGTCGGGTATTGTCGGGAGTAAACGTACTTTGATAAGTAGGACTCAGAGGCTTCAATGCAGTACATTTGTTTTTATTAAAACTGTTGTATTCTATAATTTCCCTCTCAAAAGTGCATCGTTCACTTTTATAATTTAGATTTTCATAATGAAGACGAGAGCAACAAAGAAAATTTTCATCAAGAGTAATAAATCTTATAGACGTTAGACGTTAGATTATAATTAGAGATAAAACAGAAAATAATAAAAAACAAAGATTTAGTTTAAAATTTAGTATTAGAAATATAAGCTTCAAAATAAAATTAGAAAGATAAATTATTTTAACACTTTCCTTTTGTGCAAATAAAACAGAAAACGTACAACTATATATACACTAGATTTGAAAAACCTTATTAATATATGGCTATATTACTAAAACCAGACTTAATCGTTTTTAAATTGTATGGTCGACTATGAGAGTTGTAGAGTAAAAAAGGAGTAAAATTTTTGTTAAAAAACCGAAGTTATTACTAATTTTTAAACAAATAACTCGTTCTAATAAGTTCAATTAAACTTACAAATATTTTAAATTGTGCAAGGAAGAGAACATTGCTTTTTGGAGGGCAGTAAGTTGGTTTTCATTTATATTTCTTTTTATGTACAATGCAAGAGAAGTTAGCCTTAATATTAGAAAATAAATTTATAACGAGCTTTTACAAATATGTTAAAGCGCTTAGTTCGACAATGGAACGATCCTCTATTGATGAAATGTTATTTTTGTCAAGATTCCTAAATTAAAAAGTGTAACAAGTTAAAGTGAATATCTATAAAGAATTCATAAAACAAAGCGAAAAGCAAGGTAATATTCTATCACACTTCTCTATTACTAAACTATACTTTTCCTTGTTTTTAAATGGCTCGGTGAGGTTTATGGAATTGTAGACTTATAAGTTGAGTATATTTGTTAGACAACTAAAGTTATTACTATAAAATGAATTCTTATAAATAAAAAATAAACCACTCATTCTAATAAGTTTAATTAAACTTACAAATATTTTAAACTGTGCAAGGACAAGAACACTGCTTTTCGGAGGGCAGTAAGTTGGTTTTCTTTTAAATCCCTATTTGTACAATGCAAGAAGAGTAAGCCTTAAAATTAGGAAATAAATTTATAACGAGCTTTTACAAATATGTTAAAGCGCTTAGTTCGACAAAGGAACGATCCTCTATTGACGATATGCTATTTCTTTCAAGATATCTAAAATAAAAAGTGTAATAAGTTTTAGTGAATATCGAGAAAGCCATATAAAAGGCAAAGCGAAAAGTAAAATATCCTATCACACTTTACTATTATTAAACTAGACTTTTCCTTGTTTTTATATAGTTCGGTGCGGTTATCGCAGTTGTAGACTTATAAGTGAGTAAATTTGTTAGAATACTCAAGTATTTACTAACAATGAATCCCTTTAAATATAAAATCAACCCTTCTGATGTTTACTTACAAATCTTTTAATTTTTGGAAGGACGAGAACATTGCTTTTCGAAGGGCAGTAAGTTGGTTATCATTTAAATTTCTATTTGTAAAATGCAAGAGAAGTTAAACATAATATTAGAAAATAAATTTATAACGAGCTTTTACAAATATGTTAAAGCGCTTAGTTCGACAAAGGAGCGATCCTCTATTGATGATATGCTATTTCTCTCAAGAGATCTAAAATAAAAAGTGTAATAAGTTTAAGTGAATATCGATAAAATATTTATAAGGCAAAGGGAAAACGGAAGGTAATATACTATCACACTTCACTATTACTAAACTAGACTTTTCCTTATTTTTATATAGTTCGGTGCGGTTATTGCAGTTGTAGACTTATAAGTGAGTAAATTTTTTAGAAAACTATTTTATTACTAAAAAAAATGAATTCCTATAAATATAAAATCAACCCTTCTGATGTTTACTTACAAGTTAATCAAATTTTCCAAGGACCAGAACATTTCTTTTCGGAGGGCAGTAAGTTGGTTTTCACTTAAATCTCTTTTTGTACAATGCATGAGCAGTTAGCCTTAATATTAGAAAATAAATTTATAACGAGCTATTACAAATATGTTAAAGAGCTTAGTTCGACAAAGGAACGATCCTCTATTGATGATATGCTATTTCTGTCAAGATACCTAAAATAAAGAGTGTAATAAGTTTAAATGAATATCTTTAACGATTTGATAAGACAAAGGGTAACGGAAGGTAATATACTATCACACTTCACTATTTCAAAAATAGTCTTTTCCTTATTTTTAAATAATTCGGTGCGGTTTTAAGAGTTGTAGACTTATATGGGAGTAAAATTGTTATAATACTGAAGTTATTACTAAAAAAAAAATTCCTTTAAATATAAAATCAACTTTTCTGATGTTTACTTACAAATCTTTTAAATTTCGCAAGGACGAGAACATTGCTTTTCGAAGGGCAGTAAGTTGGTTATCATTTAAATTTCTATTTGTAAAATGCAAGAGCAGTTAAACATAATATTAGAAAATAAATTTATAACGAGCTTTTACAAATATGTTAAAGCGCTTAGTTCGACAAAGGAGCGATCCTCTATTGATGATATGCTATTTCTCTCAAGAGATCTAAAATAAAAAGTGTAATAAGTTTAAGTGAATATCGATAAAATATTTATAAGGCAAAGGGAAAACGGAAGGTAATATACTATCACACTTCACTATTACTAAACTAGACTTTTCCTTATTTTTATATAGTTCGGTGCGGTTATTGCAGTTGTAGACTTATAAGTGAGTAAATTTTTTAGAAAACTATTTTATTACTAAAAAAAATGAATTCCTATAAATATAAAATCAACCCTTCTGATGTTTACTTACAAGTTAATCAAATTTTCCAAGGACCAGAACATTTCTTTTCGGAGGGCAGTAAGTTGGTTTTCACTTAAATCTCTTTTTGTACAATGCATGAGCAGTTAGCCTTAATATTAGAAAATAAATTTATAACGAGCTATTACAAATATGTTAAAGAGCTTAGTTCGACAAAGGAACGATCCTCTATTGATGATATGCTATTTCTGTCAAGATACCTAAAATAAAGAGTGTAATAAGTTTAAATGAATATCTTTAACGATTTGATAAGACAAAGGGTAACGGAAGGTAATATACTATCACACTTCACTATTTCAAAAATAGTCTTTTCCTTATTTTTAAATAATTCGGTGCGGTTTTAAGAGTTGTAGACTTATATGGGAGTAAAATTGTTATAATACTGAAGTTATTACTAAAAAAAAAATTCCTTTAAATATAAAATCAACTTTTCTGATGTTTACTTACAAATCTTTTAAATTTCGCAAGGACGAGAACATTGCTTTTCGAAGGGCAGTAAGTTGGTTATCATTTAAATTTCTATTTGTAAAATGCAAGAGCAGTTAAACATAATATTAGAAAATAAATTTATAACGAGCTTTTACAAATATGTTAAAGCGCTTAGTTCGACAAAGGAGCGATCCTCTATTGATGATATGCTATTTCTCTCAAGAGATCTAAAATAAAAAGTGTAATAAGTTTAAGTGAATATCGATAAAATATTTATAAGGCAAAGGGAAAACGGAAGGTAATATACTATCACACTTCACTATTACTAAACTAGACTTTTCCTTATTTTTATATAGTTCGGTGCGGTTATTGCAGTTGTAGACTTATAAGTGAGTAAATTTTTTAGAAAACTATTTTATTACTAAAAAAAATGAATTCCTATAAATATAAAATCAACCCTTCTGATGTTTACTTACAAGTTAATCAAATTTTCCAAGGACCAGAACATTTCTTTTCGGAGGGCAGTAAGTTGGTTTTCACTTAAATCTCTTTTTGTACAATGCATGAGCAGTTAGCCTTAATATTAGAAAATAAATTTATAACGAGCTATTACAAATATGTTAAAGAGCTTAGTTCGACAAAGGAACGATCCTCTATTGATGATATGCTATTTCTGTCAAGATACCTAAAATAAAGAGTGTAATAAGTTTAAATGAATATCTTTAACGATTTGATAAGACAAAGGGTAACGGAAGGTAATATACTATCACACTTCACTATTTCAAAAATAGTCTTTTCCTTATTTTTAAATAATTCGGTGCGGTTTTAAGAGTTGTAGACTTATATGGGAGTAAAATTGTTATAATACTGAAGTTATTACTAAAAAAAAAATTCCTTTAAATATAAAATCAACTTTTCTGATGTTTACTTACAAATCTTTTAAATTTCGCAAGGACGAGAACATTGCTTTTCGAAGGGCAGTAAGTTGGTTATCATTTAAATTTCTATTTGTAAAATGCAAGAGCAGTTAAACATAATATTAGAAAATAAATTTATAACGAGCTTTTACAAATATGTTAAAGCGCTTAGTTCGACAAAGGAGCGATCCTCTATTGATGATATGCTATTTCTCTCAAGAGATCTAAAATAAAAAGTGTAATAAGTTTAAGTGAATATCGATAAAATATTTATAAGGCAAAGGGAAAACGGAAGGTAATATACTATCACACTTCACTATTACTAAACTAGACTTTTCCTTATTTTTATATAGTTCGGTGCGGTTATTGCAGTTGTAGACTTATAAGTGAGTAAATTTTTTAGAAAACTATTTTATTACTAAAAAAAATGAATTCCTATAAATATAAAATCAACCCTTCTGATGTTTACTTACAAGTTAATCAAATTTTCCAAGGACCAGAACATTTCTTTTCGGAGGGCAGTAAGTTGGTTTTCACTTAAATCTCTTTTTGTACAATGCATGAGCAGTTAGCCTTAATATTAGAAAATAAATTTATAACGAGCTATTACAAATATGTTAAAGAGCTTAGTTCGACAAAGGAACGATCCTCTATTGATGATATGCTATTTCTGTCAAGATACCTAAAATAAAGAGTGTAATAAGTTTAAATGAATATCTTTAACGATTTGATAAGACAAAGGGTAACGGAAGGTAATATACTATCACACTTCACTATTTCAAAAATAGTCTTTTCCTTATTTTTAAATAATTCGGTGCGGTTTTAAGAGTTGTAGACTTATATGGGAGTAAAATTGTTATAATACTGAAGTTATTACTAAAAAAAAAATTCCTTTAAATATAAAATCAACTTTTCTGATGTTTACTTACAAATCTTTTAAATTTCGCAAGGACGAGAACATTGCTTTTCGAAGGGCAGTAAGTTGGTTATCATTTAAATTTCTATTTGTAAAATGCAAGAGCAGTTAAACATAATATTAGAAAATAAATTTATAACGAGCTTTTACAAATATGTTAAAGCGCTTAGTTCGACAAAGGAGCGATCCTCTATTGATGATATGCTATTTCTCTCAAGAGATCTAAAATAAAAAGTGTAATAAGTTTAAGTGAATATCGATAAAATATTTATAAGGCAAAGGGAAAACGGAAGGTAATATACTATCACACTTCACTATTACTAAACTAGACTTTTCCTTATTTTTATATAGTTCGGTGCGGTTATTGCAGTTGTAGACTTATAAGTGAGTAAATTTTTTAGAAAACTATTTTATTACTAAAAAAAATGAATTCCTATAAATATAAAATCAACCCTTCTGATGTTTACTTACAAGTTAATCAAATTTTCCAAGGACCAGAACATTTCTTTTCGGAGGGCAGTAAGTTGGTTTTCACTTAAATCTCTTTTTGTACAATGCATGAGCAGTTAGCCTTAATATTAGAAAATAAATTTATAACGAGCTATTACAAATATGTTAAAGAGCTTAGTTCGACAAAGGAACGATCCTCTATAGATGATATACTATTTCTGTCAAGATACCTAAAATAAAAAGAATAATAAGTTTAGGTAAATATCTATAAAGCATTCATAAAACAAAGCTATAATGAAGGTAGTATTCTATCACCCTTCACTCTTACTACATTAGACTTTTCCTTTTTTTAAATGGTTCGGTGCGGTTTTGGCAGTTGTATGTTTATAAGTGAGTAAATTTTGTTAGAAAACTCAATTATTACTAAAAAATGAATTCCTTTGAATATAAAATCAACCCTTCTAATGTATACTTACAAATATTTTAAATTTTGCAAGGGCCAGAACATTGCTTTTCGGATGGCAGTAAGTTGGTTTCCATTTAAACGTCTTTTTGTACAACGCATAAAATGTTACACTTAATACTAGACAATAAATTTATAACGAGCTATTACAAATATGTTAAAGCGCTTAATTCGACAAAGGAACGATCTTCTATTAATGATATACTATTTCTCTCAAGAGACCTAAATTTAAAAGTGAAATAAGTTTTAGTGAATATCGATAAAGCATTTATAAGGCAAAGCGGAAAGTAAGGTAATACACTATCACACTTTACTATTGCTAAACTAGACTTTTTCCTTGTTTTTAGATGGTTCGGTGCGGATTTAGCAGTTGTAGACTTATAAGTGAGTAAATTTTTTAGAAAACTCAATTATTACTAAAAAATGAATTCCTATTAATTTAGAATAAACCACTCATTCTAATAAGTTTAATTAAACTTACAAATATTTTAAATTTTGCAAGGAAGAAAACATTGCTTTTCGGAGGGCAGTAAGTTGGTTTTCTTTTAAATCCCTTTTTGTACAATGCAAAAGTAGTGAACCATAATATTAGAAAATAAATTTATAACGAGCTATTACAAATATGTTAAAGCGCTTAGTTCGACAAAGGAACGATCCTCTATTGATGATATTCTATTTCTCCCAAGAGATCTAAAATAAAAAGTGTAATAAGTTAAAGTGAAAATGGATAGAACATTTTTAAGGCAAAGGGAAACGGAAGGTAATATACTATCACACTTCACTATAACTAAACTAGATTTTTCCTTGTTTTTAAATGGTTCGGAGCGGTTATCGCAGTTACAGACTTATAAGTGAGTAAATTTGTTAGAAAACTCAATTATTACTAAAAAATAAATTTCTAAAAAAAAAAAATAAAATCAACCCTTCTGATGTTTACTTACAAATTTTTTAAACTTTTCAAAGACGAGAACATTGCTTTACGGAGAACAATAAGTTGGTTTTCACTTAATTCTCTTTTTGTACAATGCAAGAGAAGTTAGCCTTAATATAAGGAAATAAATTTATAACGAGCTATTACAAAAACGTTAAAGCGCTTAGTTCGACAAAGGAACGATACTCTATTGATGTTATGCTATTTCTCTCAAGATACCTAAAATAAAAAGTGTAATAAGTTTTAGTGAATATCGAGAAAGCCATATAAAAGGCAAAGCGAGAAGTAAAATATTCTATCACACTTTACTATTATTAAACTAGACTTTTCCTTGTTTTTAAATGGTTCGATGCGGTTATCGCAGTTGTAGACTTATGAGTGAGTAAATTTGTTAGAAAACTTAAGTTATTACTAAAAGTGAATTCCTAAAAATATCATCAATCCTTCTGATGTTTACTTACAAATCTTTCAAATTTTTCAAGGATGAGAACATTGCCTTTCGAAGGGCAGTAAGTTGGTTTTCTTTTAAATCCCTATTTGTACAATGCATGAGCAGTTAGCCTTAATATTAGAAAATAAATTTATAACGAGCTATTACAAATATGTTAAAGCGCTTAGTTCGACAAAGGAACGATACTCTATTGATGTTATGCTATTTCTCTCAAGATACCTAAAATAAAAAGTGTAATAAGTTTTAGTGAATATCGAGAAAGCCATATAAAAGGCAAAGCGAAAAGTAAAATATTCTATCACACTTTACTATTATTAAACTAGACTTTTCCTTGTTTTTAAATGGTTCGATGCGGTTATCGCAGTTGTAGATTTATGAGTGAGTAAATTTGTTAGAAAACTCAAGTTATTACTTGATAAATGAATTCCTTTAAATATAAAATAAACCCTTCTGATGTTTACTTACAAATATTCTAAATTTAGCATGGACGAGAATATTCCTTTTCGGAGGGCAGTAAGTTGGTTTTCTTTTAAATCCCTATTTGTACAATGCATGAGCAGTTAGCCTTAATATTAGAAAATAAATTTATAACGAGCTATTACAAATATGTTAAAGCGCTTAGTTCGACAAAGGAACGATACTCTATTGATGTTATGCTATTTCTCTCAAGATACCTAAAATAAAAAGTGTAATAAGTTTTAGTGAATATCGAGAAAGCCATATAAAAGGCAAAGCGAAAAGTAAAATATTCTATCACACTTTACTATTATTAAACTAGACTTTTCCTTGTTTTTAAATGGTTCGATGCGGTTATCGCAGTTGTAGATTTATGAGTGAGTAAATTTGTTAGAAAACTTAAGTTATTACTAAAAGTGAATTCCTAAAAATATCATCAATCCTTCTGATGTTTACTTACAAATCTTTTAAATTTTTCAAGGATGAGAACATTGCCTTTCGAAGGGCAGTAAGTTGGTTTTCTTTTAAATCCCTATTTGTACAATGCATGAGCAGTTAGCCTTAATATTAGAAAATAAATTTATAACGAGCTATTACAAATATGTTAAAGCGCTTAGTTCGACAAAGGAGCGATACTCTATTGATGTTATGCTATTTCTCTCAAGATACCTAAAATAAAAAGTGTAATAAGTTTTAGTGAATATCGAGAAAGCCATATAAAAGGCAAAGCGAGAAGTAAAATATTCTATCACACTTTACTATTATTAAACTAGACTTTTCCTTGTTTTTAAATGGTTCGATGCGGTTATCGCAGTTGTAGATTTATGAGTGAGTAAATTTGTTAGAAAACTTAAGTTATTACTAAAAGTGAATTCCTAAAAATATCATCAATCCTTCTGATGTTTACTTACAAATCTTTCAAATTTTTCAAGGATGAGAACATTGCCTTTCGAAGGGCAGTAAGTTGGTTTTCTTTTAAATCTCTATTTGTACAATGCATGAGCAGTTAGCCTTAATATTAGAAAATAAATTTATAACGAGCTATTACAAATATGTTAAAGCGCTTAGTTCGACAAAGGAGCGACCCTCTATTGATGATATGCTATTTCTCTCAAGATACCTAAAATAAAAAGTGTAATAAGTTTTAGTGAATATCGATAAAACATTTAAAAGGCAAATCGAAAAGTAAGGAAATATACTATCACACTTCACTATTACTAAACTAGACTTTTCCTTGTTTTTAAATCGTTCGGTGAAGTTCAAGTAGTTATAGACTTATAAGTTAATAAACTATTTGTTAGAAAACTCAATTATTACTAACAATGAATTCCTTTAATATAAAATCAACCCTTCTGATGTTTACTTACAAATCTTTTAAATTTTTCAAGGACGAGAACATTGCTTTTCGGAGTGCAGTAAGTTGGTTTCCATTTAAACGTCTTGTTGTACATTCCATAAACAGTTAGCCTTAATATAAGAAAATAATTTTATAACGAGCTATTACAAATTTGTTAAAGCGCTTAGTTCGACAAAGGAACGATCTTCTATTGATGATATGCTATTTCTCTCAAGATTCCTAAATTAAAAATTGTAAAAAGTCTAGGTGAATATTAATAAAGCGTTCATAAAACAAAGCGAAAAGTAAGGTAATATATACCATCAAACTTTACTATTACTAAACTAGTCTTTTCCCTGTTTTTATATGGTTGAGTTCCGTTTTGACAGAAAAGGATGAAAATAATTAGTAGTTTTTCTTTAATTTTTCTTAATAAAATATATTTACGAATTCGGTAACGTTAATATCCGTATAACTTTATCTAAGCGCATATATTCACAAACTTGCCTTAAAGCTAAGCTCTCTTCGTTGGATAACGGAAGGAAAGACCAAATATTTAAATTAACTATCTCAGATCTCTAATTTATTTGAAAGTACAGCTAAAAATCAATACTACCAATATTAAGAGCGTTACGGTAGGCTCTAGAAAATTAGAGTATGATTTATTTTATATAAATACTTACAAGTATGTAACATTAGTGGGAAAATTTTTGCTCGGCAAAGTTGTTAAATTGCAGAGGGAGAGGTCCCTTTTCAATTTGCATTATAGTTAGAAATTATAATAAATTTTGTAAAAGTGAGTTTTGGTGAGGATAGAATTGAATTTTTTAGTTAGGAAGAGTGTTAAAACTAAGAGTTTTACGTGGGCTTCCTTGAAAAAACAATGGCAAGATAAAAAATAGGAAAAGAAAATTATTATAAGCACTAGTGAAGCTTAAGCAATTATCAGGAAAGAAAAACAATTGTGTTCGGTTAAAGTAATTTGAGGGTATGCAAGGAATTGCAAAGTAGATAAAGTGTACTTACAAAGTGTCGCCGTTTATAAGGAGAAATTGTTGACAGGGTGAAGGGATAACCTTTGGGAGCCAAAGTGCTAAGAATGGTAGGATCATAGAAGATAACATGATGAGAAAAAACAGGGGGATAAGGTAATAAAATCCTAGACGAGGAAAAAAAATACTCTACGCGTGCTTTTATAGTATTTTTAAAATTATTTATGTTAGGGTTAGGGTTAGATGTAATGATAATCTTTGCAAACAAAAATTATCATAAAGCTTCTTGAAGATACTCAAACTATTTCTTTTATCAATAAACTTTCATATGCGGTATAGAATAGTTTTATTAATAAATTTTTTCGCTAAAATCTCCAGAGGTATCCTTGAATCAAGCCTGACTGGTTGTTTAAAAAAGTATTTTGAATCAGGGTCCTTTCTGCTGCCTGGGCTTCTTCAGTGGAATTTGAGGGCACGTGGTAAGCGAAAAAGCGAAAAGTTCTGGAAGTCTTTCCAGTCTCTTATATACCTTTTCAGGTTTATACTCGGAAAGTGGTTTCCAGAATAATTAGAAATGTTCGGGAACATTTCATATAAAAAAGAATATGACTTTAATATTAGGTTTAGGGACATTATAAAAAAGAATCAGTGCTAGCTAGCTATCCTCCTTTTCTAATTTATAGTGCTCCACTTTCCGAGTTTACGAAACGATTCGAACCCAATAATTCATTGATATTTAGAGGTCTGGAATATCCAATCGTGATAGGGCAATTATTTGTCATAGCTGATATGACATTGGTGGCAAGGGCATTTCTAATCCAACTTCGCCTCGGTCCGTTCGGGTCATATCGGATATGAAAAAAGAAACGTTTCGTAAAGGTATGGTTGTTATCGTTGTTGTCCTTTTTAGATAACATTGAGAAAGCGTATCTAAATATTACATATAATCTTTTTTTGGAATGACCCCTCTCCATTAACCTTGCAAAAAGTTTGTTACAACATGATACAAAAATCCTCGCGAAAAGAATTTTGTCGGTAATAGTTAGAAATTAAGCTTCTCACCATACCTTTTACAACTCCTGGCGGATGTGCCGAATGAGGGGTAGGATATAAAAATAAATTTGTATCCTTTTCCGCCGATATTGTCCATACCATCTTACCATCTGTATGAATACAGATGTCCAGGAATTGTAATTTACAAACCTTTATTGATTCTTTAGTCCATTTCAGACCAGGAATACTGTTAAGGATGCCCAGCATCTTTTTCTTTAAGAATCTACCATTGTCATTCAAAAAATCACTAATGTATCATCCTAATATCTTTTATATAGGATGAGATTTGATTTTAAAAGAGGGTATAGTTTGATAGATTCATAGTAAGCAACATAAAGTGTTGCTATACTGGGGGCTGCTGGATTCCCCATAGGAATTCGGTTCGTTTGAATGTAGAGCTTATCATAGAATTCAAAATATCTTGTATTTAGAATTAAATGAAGAGCCTCTACAAGCAAACCACCATGAATTGGTCCATAATGCTCTAGAATATATTTTTTAATCACACTAAATGCTTCCATAATAGGAATGGAAGTATATAAGGCTGAAATATCTAAAGACATTATTTCATAGTGAGATGACAAAATGGTACCCTGAATAGCAGTCAGGATATCATCAGAATTCCTGATGTAAGAAGGGACGGTCTCTACTATAGGTAGTAGATAGTGGTGTAACCATTTCGACAGACCAGTAATAGGTGTATTCACACATGCTACTAATGGACGAATGACTGGTGCAGATCTAGGAAAGGCTTTTTTGTGCACTTTGGCTAACCCGTAAAAATAACAGAGT